ACCTTTGCTGGCTTTAAATTCACCAATATGAGCACTAGTTCCAGGCATTTTTCCCTGTTCACCTGGGTGTTAGTTGACTGGTGTGGGTTGCATCCTGGGAGACAAGATTAAGGACCCCAATGGAAATAAGTTAGACAGTCTTCGATGACACTGACTTTTTTGGGTTATCCTGGGTGGCAAATCCTCTGGGGTTAATTGTTTCTTGGTATTCTCAATAAGCCACACCAACAACGGTGCTACAGCAGCAGCAGCAGCAGCAGCTGACAGTGCTACAGCAGCAGCAGCAGCTGACAGTGCTACAGCAGCAGCAGACGATGCTACAGCAGCAGCAGACGGTACTACAGCAGCAGCTGACGGTGGTACAGCAGCAGCAGACGATGCTACAGCAGCAGCAGACGGTACTACAGCAGCAGCTGACGGTGGTACATCAGCAGCAGACGGTACTACAGCAGCAGCTGACAGTGCTACAGCAGCAGCAGACGATGCTACAGCAGCAGCAGATGGTACTACAGCAGCAGCTGATGGTGGTACAGCAGCAGCAGCAGCTGACAGTGCAGCAGCAGCAGCAGCTGACGGTGGTACAGCAGCAGCAGCAGCTGTACCATCAATAGTAGCGATGGTTGATTGGGGTTTATTATACAACCTGGCCAGCTCGGAGACACGCAATCCACTTTCATACTTATCAATGATCTTTTTCTTCATCTCTATAGTAATTCTCACCCTTATTGCTGTAGGGTTGGCACTAGAAGCTTTCCTGGGGCCCATGGTCACTTATTTTGCAGATAAAATCACCAAAAACACTGTAATAATACGAAATGTTCCGATTGTATGCTTGGATGTTACCGCGGAGGCTGGCCGGTAAACAATGCCACCGGCGGCACATGTGAGGCTGGCTAAGGGCGCACATTGGACGCGTCTCGGACGAAGAGCGGTGAGTGGGTTTTTGAGCGGTACGCGAGGCAAAATTTTTGCGAAAAAAGCGAGCGGTATGCGGATTGAATGTTATGCGATGCGTACGGTATGCGGGGGTCCACTGTATAATACTAATGTTCTATCATATATTTACATATTTACAATCACTGGACATGGTTTTAGAACTGCTGGAGCTTGTGGAACTCCTTGAAACAAGGCACCATACACAGAGGCACCTTACATTCCTCACACATAAACCGAGTGTCTTTGCGTCTTTGTTGCCGTCGTTTTGTTTGTGCACAGACAACACATCTCTTCTGAGCAAATTTCTTCAGAGTTGAAGGAAGCTGTATTATGAAATGATCACCTTCCCTCCTCAAACGCTTGGGTATATCCTGAGGAATTCGAGGACCTTATTGTATAGCAGGTGTTCTTACTGGTACTTCATTATGAGTTGTCTGACAACAGACAAACAAAATTCACCATACGGTGGTCTGTTGTCAGTCTTTATTTGGTACATATTATATGCATTCAGCATTGAAATGTCCATGAGATGAAAGAAAAGTTTCATGTACCACTTGTAACTCTTACAAACACAATCAACAAAACCAATCTGCATGTCACATTTGTCAACCAAGCGCATGTTTTGCGTATAATCAATCACTGTCACTGGTTTTCAAATACGTTCATTAGTCACTCGATCAACTTTGCCACTGTCTTGCATTTCATTACGGTGAATGGTTGTCAACAATGTGACATCTCATTTGTCATGCCACTGTAATGCCATGATGTCATTGGCAGTAAACACCTGCACGTCATCACCATGAGCACCTGCGTTGAGCCTGGGCATATGTTTACGATTAGAACTCACTGTGCCACACACATCTGTCTTGTTCACTCGCATGAAATCACTGAGTAATGGGCTTGTGTACCAGTTATCGGTATATAATGTATGCCCCTTACCAAGATAAGGTGCCATCATGTTTCTCACTATGTCACCTGAGATATCCAATAACATCTTGGTATCTTTCAGTGTTTTACTTCCCGTGTATACAACAATATCCAACACCAGGCCACTGTCACAGTCACAGAGTACAAACAGTTTTATACCAAAGTGTTTCCTCTTGCTCTGTATATACTGCTTGAATGACAGTCTACCTTTGAACAAAATCAAAGACTCGTCAATTACAAGATTCTTGAATGGATAAAAGTATATGCTGAACTTTTGTTTGAGATACATGAAAACATTTCTAATCTTGTATAACCTGTCACTTCTGTCAGGCCTGGTTTTGTCAGAGAAGTGCAACATACGTAACAGTAAGATAAACCTGTTCACTGGTATGATTTCACTGAAGACCGGGGTAGAAATTAGCCGATCTGTGGACCAGTATGCTTTTATATTATGCTTATAGACATGAAGCATAAGCATTATTGTTGCAAAAAGCAAATACATTTCTGCAACAGTCGGCTCTTTCCACCTGTGTAGTCTTGACTGTGTTGATATGATCGTATTTGCCATGGTGTACTCAAAATACTTATTACTTTCCCTGACAATAGTTTCCATCAGTGGCTGGTATAAGAATAATTCAAAGAATTCCAGTTCATTGGCCATGGTTCCAAGGGGACAAGTAGGTAGAATTCCACTTTGAGAGTCATCAAAGTGGTGGGGCTTGGGAACAAAATTGGGATTTTGCTGCCAATCCCAGGTACGGTTTGCTGGTGGATACTGGACATCATAGGCTGGTTGTGCGGGTGGTTGTGGTGGGCTGGTGGCTGATGCTCCACTTTGTCCTTGAACTGAGTCAGCAGTGTGGGTCCCAGCCTGGGCTGGTGAGTCACGCATGGCGGTGCCACTACCATCACCACTACCACCATCTACTGATGCCTGTGGTCTGTCCATGCCAAGTGTAGCCACATCATCCTCACTATCACTATCTAAACCTGGTGTAGCGCCACGGGATGTACTCCGGGATGTACTCCGTCCCCTGGGCACAGCATAGGGTACACTACCCGAGCGCATGCGGCGGCGCACATACCGATGCTTCACTGGTGAATATGATTCCTCACTATCACTACTCGAATGATCGTCAAGCGCAATAAAATCACAATCCACGTCACTATCATCATCATTACTGAAGTCAGAGGCCTGGCCATGCGAAAATATTAGTTTTCTCTTGCGTTGAGGTACAACCGACCGTGAGTCACAAGTGCCCACACCAGAGGTAGAAGGTTGAGGATCGTCAGGGTTTTCTGCGCTATTATCGATATCCTGGTCATTCCTTTCGGTCACTAACTGATCAAAGCCATAGAATTCGTCTTCATTTCCACTTCCATCAGTGTCAGAACTATTAGATAGGAAGAGGAGAGTCCCAATTTTCCAGGGAGTGAGAGCTGACTTGCGACGAGGCATGGTGAACAAGGGTAACTTAGCCGGCGTTCCCACAATGCTATGCGGGCGCCTAGATTTTTTGTTTATGGTGCACACCCACCACGCAGACCCGTTCTCTCACATGTAGGCCTATGAGCGCTTTCGCGCTAAATTTGACGGCGCTAGAATTTTGGCATAGATCTACGGTTTGGACACTCAACGTGAAGCTGTAGATCTACGGGATGGACCCTGAAAGGGTTAAAGGATCCACTACTAATGCTTTTGCCACTAGGTTTTACTAAAATGTCATGCAAGTCCTTAGCTTTTGCATGTAACAGTTAATATTTAAAATATTCTTGTCACCATGTCCTGAATTCACACATTTAGTCCTTTCTCCATTTTAAGTACGCAAAGATTGCACACAATAGATTAATTACACTTTAGCATCTGCCGTACTGGTCACCACACTTCAGTATAGTATAGTATATTACTGTTTTATTTGCATGATAATGTCTGTCAACAGTGGCTGCACTCTCATACTTAACTATAAGTAAGTAATTTTATTTAGGTACAGGTACACAATTATCATACATAGTGTAAATTACCGAGGATAACCCCTAAAAATGCCAGTGACTTATTTCCGTCATGTCTAATTATTTCACATACATATTTTATGTCATCATGACCTGCATCTTAGGAGCAGGTTCATCTTCACCACTCTCAGAATGGACAGGCTTTAAACCCATGGCAAGTAAGTTTTAAGACTAGCATGCCAGTTTTTTAACCGATTTTTAATCTGTTAAAATTCATCCATCTAGGTACATCTCTAAGCATTACAGAGGTTAGCATGGGCCACACTGACCTTTGACCACAAATGCCATGGGTTCAAATCCTGTCCATTCCACGAGTTGTGCACAATCTTAATACAATTTCATAAGTTGCTTACAGTTGCTGTGAAGGGACTTGAGCTAGAGCTTGCTACAGCCATGTTAGTGTGAGATTAATTTGAAAAAAAATGTGCATTTGTGATCAGTGTGGCCCATGTTAACCTGTTAACCTTCTTTTGGTATAAATACTTATCTAGTTGAAAGGATCTTAAGAGGCCTGCATGGTTTAGTGGTTGGAGCACTGGCCTACTAATTTTAGGATTGTTGTGCCATGGGTTTGAATCCTGTCCATTCTTTGAGTTGTTAACAGTTGTGTTAAGATTTCATGAGTCAACCATCAGAGTGCTGTAACCTGCAGACGTGATAGTGGCATCAACAGTAACTCACTAAATTGTTTTTTGTTTTGTCTAGTGTTCCTGCTTCTTAAAATGTCCTTCCATGCAAGTAAATGTGAATGATCAAAACTATTTATTGAAGACTCCTTCAGTCGGAGTGGATAATAGAAATTTGCAGGGTGCCAAGACTTGGGAAGGGTGATTGTACATTTTAAGTTCATGGTGTCAGAATGAAACTTGTCATTCCTTGAAAGGTAAAATGAAACCAAGTAATGCTTGTAGTATATAATAAATATTAAATGAAAACAAAATATTCATTGTAATCTTGTGCATATTGCTAATACTTATAATATTAAATATTTGTTTTCCTCTAAATGCTGTATTATTTTCATGAAAGTATTTTGATTTCTATTGATGTACTTTTTTTTGCATTTAATGTTTTAAACTTGTAAATGTTTTCTTTGTTTTTCTTGCATTAATCCATGTAATATTTTACAGATGTAAGACCTGTGCGACTGTCAGACTGCCATGTGGTGGAGTTAGGATCAGGGACTGGCTGTGTTGGTCTTACTGCTGCTCTCCTGGGGTTAGTCTAAAAAACTAGTGCATGATGGCACAGTTAAATCTCTCTTGCAGTTACCTATTTGCAATTTCCTATTTGTAGATCTATAATTTGTTCATGATTATAGCCAGGTATAAAAATAAGTAAGTAAATTTACCTACTTCATGATTCATTACCTGTGTAACTTGTGAGTTCGTTACCTTTGTACCTTGTTCAGCTATCAAAACTTTGGGGCTCAGTCCCTAGACCCATTATGTACAGTGGACCCTTGAGTTTAGAACTTCATCCGTTCCAGGAGCTAGTTCTGAAGTTGAAATGTTCGAAAGTTGAACCAATATTTCTCATAAGAAATAATGGAAATACAATTAATCCATTCCAGAAACCCAAAAATATTCACAAAAAAATACATTTTAGAGATTACATTATCGTTTTACGTACAGAACATACATATATGTATATAGTACAATTAGTAATAAATTTAAATAAACATATTAAATAACATTTTTACTTACCTTTATTGAAGATTGGTGATGGCATATGGAAGATAGGGAGGAGGAGAGAGGGAGTTGAGGCTAGTGTTTGGAAGGGGAATCCCCCTCCATAAGGACTTTAGGTATCAAAGCCCTCTCTGGGGTTACTTCCCTTCTCTGTCTTTTAATGCCACTAGGGCCAGCTTGAGAGTCACTGGACCCCTGTCTCACAAAATAACTGTCTACAGTCCTGTTTCTGGCACCTCTTTAAGATTTCCCTAAAATGGGACATGGTTCTGTCACTGAACTTGTTGCAAAGATGACTTGTTTCAGCTTGCTCAGGGTGGTACTTTTCCACAAACATTTGGACATCATTCCACTGGGCACAAATCTCCTTAATTTCTGAAGAAGGCACCTCATCCACTCCCTCTTCCTCCTCCTCTGAAGCAAGTTCCTGAGCTGTGGTCTGATACTGTTCCAGATGAAGCTCTTCCAGCCCTTCATTGGTTAGCTCTTCCCTGTGATCCTTCACCAACTCTTCCACATCCTCACCACTCATCTCCAGCCCCAGGGTGTTCCCCAATGCCACAATAGAGTCCACAACAGGCAGAGGGTCGTCAGGGTCAGCCTCAAACCCCTCAAAATCCCTCTTTTGGACACAATCTGGCTACAATTGTCTCCAAGCAGAGTTCAAAGTCCTGGAAGTCACTCTCTCCCAAGCCTTACCTATAAGGCTTATGGAGCTGTAGATATTGAAGTGATTCCTCCAGAACTCTCTTAGGGTCAGCTTAATGTCTGTGGTCTCTTCCCAGCACTTTTCAAACACTGCTTTTGTGTAGAGTTTTTTGAAATTAGAAATGACCTGCTGGTCCATGGGCTGGAGGAGAGGAGTGGTGTTAGGAGGCAAGAACTTCACTGTGATGAAACTGTAGTCCATAGACAGTAGGTCTACCAAGTTTGGAGGATGAGCAGGAGCATTGTCCATTAACAGAAGGCACTTGAGTGGCAAATTATTTTCTAGGAGGTATTTTCTCACATTGGGGCCAAACACTTCATGAACCCACTCTTTGAAAATTTGCCTTGTGACCCATGCCTTATTATTTGCTTTCCACAAGACACACAACTTGTTTTTAATGACATTGTTTTTCTTAAACACACTGGGATTTTCTGAGTGATACACAAGTAAAGGCTTCACTTTAAAATCACCACTAGCATTAGCACAGAACAAAAGAGTTAACCTGTCTTTCATAGGGTTGTGTCCTAGGAGTGCCTTTTCCTCCTGTGTGATATAGGTCCTCTTTGGCATTTTCTTCCAAAATAGGCCTGTTTCGTCACAATTGAACACTTGTTGGGGTTTGAATTTTTCAGTGTCTACGTACCCCTTAAACTCCTGTCAAACTTCTTAGCCGCCCGTTTGTCTGAACTGGCTGCCTCACTATGCCTTACAACATTGTGTATGCCACTACGCTTCTTAACTCTTTCAAACCAGCCTTTGCTGGCCTTAAATTCACTGGTTCCAGGAGTTTTCTTTGCCAGGTCGGCATGCAACTTCCTTGCCTTTTCACAAATGATTGTCTCAGAAACACTATCACCTGCCATCTCTTTATCCTTGATCCACACCACCAACAACAACTCAACCTGATCGACTGTCTGTGGTCTATTTTTGGTTAGCATATCAACACCTTTTGCCACATCAGCTTCCTTGATTTGTGCTTTCTTTGCCAGGATAGAAGCGATGGTTGATTTGTTTTTGCCCTACATCCTGGCAAGCTCAACAATTCTCACACCACTCTCATATTTTTGTATTATTTCCTTCTTCAAGTCTATGGTGTTTCTCACTTTCTTTACCACAGGGGTACCACTAGCAAGTTAATTTGGGCCCATGGTAGCTTATTTCAGTAACACAAGCACTAAACACAATGAATTAATAGTGAAATGTTTGAATGAGCGTGCAGGTTAGTGTTCACTCAAGCATCAACAAAGCTAGACTGGCTCATGACGCCTGCGCAGGGACGCGGACAGAGTGGACTGGTGGACAGGTCCGGTACCCAGCGGTTCGAAAGACGGGTAGGGTTCAATACTTGGAAGGAAATTGGTTCGAAAAAAGCATTCTAAACTCGAAAAGTTCAATAATTGGTAGGTTTGTAACTCGAGGGTCCACTGTACCTCTGTAACCTGTAAATACCTTTGTAACTTGTCATGATTGTGACCATGTCTACCTGGAGTTCATTACTTTTGTAACTTGCTCAGCTGTCAAACTTTGGGGCCCAATCCCTGGACCCATTATGTACCTCTCTAATCTTTTGACTACCACCCACAGGATGGGTATGGGGTGCATAATAAACTAGCATATTAAACTAGCTACATGAACAGAACTCTGTGGTGTCCTGTCTTCAGTAATACAGTGGACCCCCGCATAGCGACTTTAATCCGTGCAAGAGGGCTCATTGTTATGCGAAATGATCGGTATGCGAATGAATTTTCCCCATAAGAAATATTGGAAATCAAATTAATCCGTGCAAGACACCCAAAAGTATGAAAAAAAGATTTTTACCACATGAAATATACATTTTCCTACACACAAAGAGAAGGATACATGCACAATAGTAGAGTAGTACATGCACAATATATATTGTGCATGTACTACTCTACTAAATGAAGAATAAATGACACTTACCTTTATTGAAGATGCAGCAATGACTGATGAGACACTGTGTCCTGGGAGTGCCTTTTCCTCCTGAGTACTGTAGGTCCTGTTTGGCATTTTCTTCCAGAACAGGCCTTATCACACTGTGTATGCCACTACGATTCTTAAATCTCTCAAACCAACCTTTGCTGGCTTTAAATTCACCAATATGAGCACTAGTTCCAGGCATTTTTCCCTGTTCACCTGGGTGTTAGTCGACTGGTGTGGGTTGCATCCTGGGAGACAAGATTAAGGACCCCAATGGAAATAAGTTAGACAGTCTTCGATCACACTGACTTTTTTGGGTTATCCTGGGTGGCAAATCCTCTGGGGTTAATTGTTTCTTGGTATTCTCAATAAGCCACACCAACAACGGTGCTACAGCAGCAGCAGCAGCAGCTGACAGTGCTACAGCAGCAGCAGCAGCAGCTGACAGTGCTACAGCAGCAGCAGACGATGCTACAGCAGCAGCAGACGGTACTACAGCAGCAGCTGACGGTGGTACAGCAGCAGCAGACGATGCTACAGCAGCAGCAGACGGTACTACAGCAGCAGCTGATGGTGGTACAGCAGCAGCAGCAGCTGACAGTGCAGCAGCAGCAGCAGCAGCTGACGGTGGTACAGCAGCAGCAGACGGTACTACAGCAGCAGCTGACAGTGCTACAGCAGCAGCAGACGATGCTACAGCAGCAGCAGACGGTACTACAGCAGCAGCTGATGGTGGTACAGCAGCAGCAGCAGCAGCAGCAGCAGCAGCTGACGGTGGTACAGCAGCAGCAGCAGCTGTACCACCAATAGTAGCGATGGTTGATTGGGGTTTATTATACAACCTGGCCAGCTCGGAGACACGCACTCCACTTTCATACTTATCAATGATCTTTTTCTTCATCTCTATAGTAATTCTCACCCTTATTGCTGTAGGGTTGGCACTAGAAGCTTTCTTGGGGCCCATGGTCACTTATTTTGCAGATAAAATCACCAAAAACACTGTAATAATACGAAATGTTCCGATTGTATGCTTGGATGTTACCGCGGAGGCTGGCTGGTAAACAATGCCACCGGTGGCACATGTGAGGCTGGCTAAGGCCGCACATTGGACGCGTCTCGGACGAAGAGCGGTGAATGGGTTTTTGAGCGGTATGCGAGGCAAAATTTTTGCGATAAAAGCGAGCGGTATGCGGATTGAACGTTATGTGATGCGTACAGTATGCGGGGGTCCACTGTATGTTCATCATGTAATTTTTTTAAATTTCCAGTGGTTGAATCACTTATTACATCCTTTTGTAATTCATTCCATTGATCTACAGGTATGATATGTGGTTATCATGTCCTCTTATGACCTGATATGTGGTTATCATGTCCTCTTATGACCTGATATGTGGTTATCATGTCCTCTTATGACCTGATACAGTGGTACCTCGGTATATATCCTTAATCCATTCCAGGACCTTGGACTTCTACCAGACAGGACGTATACCAAATGAATTTTCCCATGAGAACTATAGGGAAAACGATTAATCCGTTCCCATGAAAAAAAATCCTATTGTTATTGGCATATTATACATTGATTGGGTTGTATAAAATAATTTAAACACTGCTTAATACTAAAATTTGTAATTTAAACACTGCTTAATATACTAAAATACATACATAAATACAAAATAATTAGATGAAATAAATGCAAATTTAACCTCACTTTTCTTTGCTGAAAAGAGTCAAGTGCCTACTAGGATACTGCTGAGAAGGGAGGAGGAAATGTTATTGTATGGAAGGAGAATCCCCTTCTCTTTTCTGTCTCTTTAGACCTGGTTGAAGCTCACCAGGTTTGACTTTTACTAAAAATTTGCCCAAAGAACTTTGCTTCTGCC